CTGGATTAATGTCACAGTTACTGGTAAATGGTCTACAGCTGTCTATTGGTTGTTTATTTCTTGGAACTTGACTTTAAGAAGTTCTAAAAAAAAAGGACTGGACTCCGAAAGTGTGTGCAGTCTCAGTTGAAGGCTTGTCGTGCAAAATATGCCGAATTCTTATTTGATAATTGTCTGCAGATTCAAATAGTATGTGCACCCATGAGTGTCTTAGGAGAAAAATAAAAATTCAAAAATCAAAGAAAGATAATGAAAAGTAAAAGAAAACTAAAGGAAGAAAGGGGACAAAAGCACTTACTTGCTTGAAAAGACCTCTAAAATGACCCCCTTTTCTCCATTAATGGTTTATCAGTTTATCAGTGATGAGTGCTTTCCCCCCTCTCGTCTCTCCTGGCGGCCTCGTCTTTGGAAAAATCCTGCCAACCCCAATGCATGTATCTGGGGAAGCCACTGGCTGGTACATTTCCTTTACTTGGTGAGAGATGTCAGTACACCTATGCTGAACCTAAGTTGATTTGGACAGTGCTTCATTGCTCTGAAGAAGTTTGGGACAGCACAATTATTAACCTTGACCGAATTGTGTATACGTAAGTCATGCGGCAGTTCTAAGATCCAGTCTCTCTTGCAGGTTTGCCATATCTAAGTCAGACACCATCTGTAACATTGGAATCAGGATCAGCTAGAGTCATCTGGCAGGCATGGAACACAAGCTCAGGGGACAGAGGAGTGGGACCAGTTATTGCATACAAAGTGTATTACTCTCTGACATCTCCAATATCCTGGATTGCTGCTGGTACCATTTCGGTGACAGACCCATCTCAGAGCACGTACAGCTTCACAGTCCAACCACTGGAACCAAGCACTGAGTACATGTTTAGCGTGGCTGCAGTGGGAGAAGGAACAGGAGAAGGGTCAAGGAGTCCGTCAGTTTCTGGAGAAACCCTTCCACTCCCTTCAACTACCACTGAGAGGACTACATCAAGAGAAACTACCGTGACTGAGCGTGAGTTATATATAAACATATAAAAGCAAACAAAAACAAATTGAGAAAAACTGTTATTTAGAAATGAGGTCACATTTCTTTGTATACCTGTTTGGTTACAATCTTATCATCGCTTTTGAGGCCCATAAAATTAATAACTCGTGTTGAACACTTCTAAACCACCTTTTAACGAGTTCGTTCTTACTACAGCTTTTAGGAGAAAATGCCTTAAGGATCTATATACGTTAGCATCAGTCTGCTCGAAAGACGTGGCTGCACAGGAGGCAAAAATTGTCGTTTGTTGTCTTTCTTGTTTATCACTGCTCACCCTGTTTTATCACTGCTCACCACTCCCCACAACTATTTTCCAATCAACAACAGCCAGCTCTTCAAACACAGCCGTCATTGCAGTAATCATTGTGGTGGTTCTCGTCTTGGCTGCAGTAGCTGTAGGATGTTTCATTTGTTATCTCCGTCGTCGACGGCGTCACGGAAAAAACGAATCCGGTGCACAATCCGGCGGAGCACAAGAACTGGTGAGTAACAGACCACCTACTAAATCACGTGACGTATAGGGGGGTATCAATTCCATAGCAAAGTGTGTTTTGCATGGTGTTTGCAAACAATAAAGCCGATTTACGGTAGAGTACCCAGCACATCAGTAGTCTGAGTGCGGTACGTTCTGTCGCGGGCATCGTTGGAGGGGGGAGGTGTAAGAGGTGTCACACCCCCTCCCTTATTGCTTTGTTTTGTCGGCAAAATCATGGTCTGTCTGCAAAATAATGAACGGAGAATGAAGATGAAAGGAAGGGGGGTACAAAAAACGTGTTTTGCGTGACGCTCCGTTGGCACATTCATAATGCCCCCCACCCGAAATGGCCTACCGTTGGCTTTATTTGGGTAAATGACACTTTGAAACACTTTTCTTTTAGTGGACGCCGTGTTTGTTGATATCTAATACCTACGATAGATCATGAGACTTGGCAGACGCAGTTGGTCTATACAAAGCTGCGTCATACAGTAGAAAGGTTTCATGACATGTTTGTAAAATTGGACGATGTGTTTCAGTGGCTCCTCAGGTATTGGGTCGGGCCAAATGTTTGTCTTGTTTAATTTTGTTTAGTTGTTACAGATGTTTTTCATCAGCATAGAATCCCTCCTAAAGGTGGCAGTTTCTAAAGTGCAAGCACTTCCAGTCCGTAAACAAGACAGTGCCTCTTTTTAATTTAGTTCGCATGTTGGTGAGTGGCGGCGCCTGACCTCGGTGGCTGTAGGTGCAAACATGGTGTAAGAGTGGGGCAAGGCAGGATTGCATGGGTGCAAATGATCCTTCATTTTACCTGGGTTTTGATGAGTCACAAAACGAAAATCGCCCTCGTAATATGTGACAAAATGTGTGGGTGCAAACATGGGTGCAAGCGGCTTTTTGATGAGTGCATTTGCACCCACATGACACCACGTAGCGCCGCCACTGGCGTTGGCCCACCCATCCACCCACTGGGTGTGTTTTCTGTGTTAATACTTACAAATAAATAAGTTTCGTGTATTTTAATGGCAACTGTTGCAGCAGATAAGAAACCTTTCCCTGAATTTATCATAAGCTCTTGGCCGTTACGAATGGCACACGTGAAGAGTACGTCGTTGGTGACAACGTTGGTCTAGTACATTCTGTTCTTAAGAAGTTCTGGAAATGGAATTAAATTTAAAAAAAAGATTTGTATTCATGATGGGAGATTGGACAAAGAAAAAAATATTTGAAAGAAGCCGACTAAGAAGTACATGCATTCGTTCCATGCTGAACCCATAGTCACACCCCTTTGTTTCATTATTGTTTAATCTAGAATACTTATCAAAATAAGATTGCTTCAGACATTGAAACAACTTCGTCACCTTATGAGAGAGTTGGTCATGGTGTTCCATCGTCATCATATGAAGTTCTTGATGTTGGTCTATCGTCAAAATCATCGACCTATGAAGACGTTGGACTACCATCTTGGGCGCAGCAGTGGGGTATACAGTGGGAAGATATGATCATCAGCAAGACGGTCCTGGGCAGTGGGAACTTCGGGGAAGTTCTTGAAGGAGCAGTGGTGATTGGAGGGAAAATCTCAAAAGCTGCTGTCAAGAAACTGAAGGGTGAGGCTTTAAGAGTAAGAGCTCTTATACCAAACGTTTGACCATGATTAACATGGTAAAGCACTTTGGCCTTTTTAATACACCACGCACTCGAAGCGAAATTGTATTGCCTGTCCAAATTATCTTACAGGAGAAATTCTTAATTGCCTTACTTAAATTTTGCATTCCCTTGTAGCTTCAGTAGTTTCTGGATGTATTTCATTTCTTTCTTCTTCTTCAATAGCGGCACATGCGTCACCGGCTGACCATCAGAACTTCACTGAGGAATTTCGAATTCTGACTAAAATTGGACGTCATCCGAATATTGTAAACCTTCTCGCCGCTTGTCAACATGAAGGTAAGTGCGTCATAGATTTGAATCATGAAATCAAGTTTTCTTTTCATTGTAAACTCAAATTTGATTAAATAATAATTACAAGCCTTGCGTAATATACGTCACCAAATAATGTGTTTACAACTTGTCAGATGATTTGTACGTGGCCGTGGAATACCTGCCCAACGGTGATTTGCGAACCTGCCTGAGAAATGCCCGATCCCAAGGAGACGGTGGCCAGACGTCTCTGTCTTCTGAAAAGCTGATACAGTTTGCTCTGGACATTGCCAAAGGAATGCAACATCTTGCTGCATCGGGGGTATTAAGAACCAAAGATTTCAATGGTGTGGCTGTCGTCATTACATGAGAACATAACAAGTGTTGTTAAATCGATTGCACTACATGCATAGATAATATTTAATGGTAAATGTGACTGTTTGGGTTAAAATAAACAGAAAAAATGAAGTGAATTAGAAACGTTTTGAATACTTTGACAAGGAAAAATATGGCTTTCAAGCAGAAAATTCATAGAGTACTGGATATCAAATAAAAATGCAATTTCGCGCTTTGCAAAAAAGCGAAACAAACACCCAGAAGGGTTCAACGAAACATGACATTACATTAAAATTAATTCCAGTAGAAAAGTTGTGAATGCATTTTTCACCATGAAGAAATGTGACATTCGAGCAGTAAATGACGCGCCAAACTGGGTATCAAATAGCATTGACCTTGCGCACGGAACAAAGCAGAAACTGTAGAAGTAAATGCAAGTTGTACTTACAGGTGATTCATCGAGATTTGGCGGCAAGAAACATCCTCCTTAGCGACGATCTGGTTGCTAAGGTTTCAGATTTTGGTTTATCCCGAGGAGAAGATATCTATATTCAGACATCCAAGGTATGATCCCAATTAAAAATTGCTGCCATATCTAAAATTACTGAAGACATAATTAAGAAAAATGAATATAAGAGTTCCACATACTAATCAGTGTCTCTTTATGAATTTGTTCAGCATTATTGCTCAAGGGCCACTTCCTTTTTGCCTAGCCCTTAATTTCATTTCCTCCTGTTTACTTTTATGAAACCTGCGGAAACAACTGTAGGAACTATAAAATCTGATTTATGACAAAGAGAATAGCGTAACAGGCAACTTACATTAACGGAAAGTTTCGGTGCATGATTGATTTAGTTTTGGTTGAACATAGGTATTTCATTGTATCACTGACTTTTTTCCAGACTCGAGTTCCCACTCGCTGGCTTTCTCTGGAATCGTTGCTGAGGCAGGTGTATACGTCAAAGAGTGACGTGTAAGTGCCCAGTATGGGAATCGTACGGAAGTGTATTTATGATATGACTAAAAAAGTTCGACCAAATGTTTCGCCCAACAAACAGATTACTCTTTCGCCCAGACGGATTACTATTCCGTCTGGGCGGATTATACCTTTGTATTTCCCAAATTCGTTATTAATCTGCCTGGGAGGAATAGTGGGTCAAAGTTTTTTAATCATGTCCTAAATACGCTAAAATTCACCTTGTTTGCATCGAATAAATTTTTGTCATGCATACTTATGAGAGAATGAGTGCATTTTCCTTCTTTTTGCCATCAGGTGGTCCTTTGGAATTCTTCTCTGGGAAATAGCTACTCTCGGTATGAAGTTGCAAAAGACGTTGAGTCTTTCGTTTTCGGAAAAATCCATTCCATTGCCTACGGGCGCAAGCATTAGCGTTAAGTTCCATTTTCATGTTTGACCCGATTGTTCTTTCTTTACTTTTAAATCTGAATTGAGTACTAACACGATAACCTTATTTGTGAATCACGTTTTAAGAGTATTCAGTTGCTCGCGTTGTTAGGTGCCACTCCTTACGAAGATATCAAATCGAAGGACCTACCTTCAAGATTGGAAAATGGATACCGTATGCCAAAACCAAGCAATTGTGACGACGAACTGTAAGACTTCTTTATTCTTTATATGTGACCCACTCTGTGAAAATGAGTCACCAGAGCCATTTTGTGAGTTTTCATATGTATTGGAAAGAGCAAGTTGAGTTTTTTGTTTTGATGATCACTCAGTTTGGCGTCCTTATGAGAGTGAATGCTCCATGGTGAAAAAAGCTGTGGGTCCCTATTTGTTTTCACTGTGCAACATTATTCTAAAGGACTTTTTACTCCAAAGTGGCTCTGGCAACTTAAGACTCATTTTCACAGAGTGGGTCACATATTAACATAATTAAACACTGAATCCTGATCCTGAAGAGGTTTTAACTTTGAACACTCATCCATACACTTATACCGGTATCGTATCCCTTTCTTCTGGAATTTTTAAAATCAACAGTAAAAACACATGTAGTTTAGTCTCTACATGATATACAGCGGCAAACATATTCTTCATATAAACGAAAACATCGTGGACAGAAACACTGTGCCCAACTAAGCCATGAGAACTTATAATTAACGCTTGCTGGGAATGTTTCGACATGTCAAATGAGGCAAACTTGACAACACCACGGAGCATTGGGACAGGTGGGCACAGTTGTCCGATACTATCTTCTTTATCACAGCTACGGTCTGATGATGCAGTGTTGGCAGGAGGACCCGAAGGAGAGACCAGCATTTAAGACATTGGTTTCGATTCTCAAATCAATAGCCGAAAACCAAATTGAGAAGGTGCGTGCTTAAGTGTCTCAACAAGAAAAGTATCAGTACTTTTGAATGAGGAGATTTTCTAAATAGGGGGCTGTACATATCATTTATTTTGTTTTGGTAAATACAAAAGGCGCCGTTCTATTGTGTCAAGCCTCTCAGAAAAGCTGGCACCATTTCAAACTTGGCTAGCTTCATTTGCAACAGCTCTTTTCACAACTATCATACCATGGCATACCGAATAGGCCTCCCTTCTTACTGCGTAGGGAAGAGTTGTGTTGTCACAGTTACCACAGGTTAAACAAAAGTCGTCGAAATCTATTCCATTAGGCCCTACTGTATTTTGAAGTCGGTCCAAAGTTTTGTTCCATTTTCCTCATTGCAGACCTACATGCGACTGCTGCCAAAATCAGAGGACTACATGTACTTGATGATTCGGCCACAGCTCGATGACAATTGATTGGATTCAAGGTCGAATGGTGCGCATAGATAATAGCCGACAAGGGCTGCGTGCGTGGATTTTAAACAGTGCATAGAGATTTAGGTCTTGAAAATACATGATAATCTTGTTACTTTAGAGATGCAAGAGATGCAGTGAAGACGACGCATTCTTCTACATTTTGGTAGTACCTCCTCCCGCTTGCAATAGTTCTGTTCATATGCTGTCCGTTTGTTTGTTACTTCAGGGTGCATCTGAACCGGCCACTGTTTATCATCTTCCAATATGAAAGATCCTGGGTTTAGATCAAGTTAACCTAATTGCCAGGGTAAATGCATGTTGATCCGTGAACAAATAACTTTTACTATACAGAAAATAAGGGTTAGGACGAGATAACTAATAAAATGTAATCCTGCGACCTCCAATTCTGTCAATTTTGAACAGTGACTGCATCCCTGGTAATAAATAAAATGAACCTTTTAATTTAACCGAAACATCATTTCAGTGGGGTGAGAGTGTCCTTTACACTGAAATTTTCAACGTAAAATTCTCCTCAGTTAACAAGTTAATTGTGTACGTTTATTGACTGTCTGCCTTGATGAGCGCTTATTAGTGAAAATATGAATATGCATTAGTACCTTAGGGCCTGCCTCTCATCATGCAGTGTACGGCCTATTATGTTAATTGGATTGATTTTTAGCGTATGATACTTCCAATCAGACCGTAGCAGAAAAGTTTGAAATAATTTTGGGTTATATTTTATATAACACATAAGGACTTTTGGGGCGGTTCTGGGTGCGGTTGGACTGTTAAACAAATTGCAGTATTAACTTGCTATTTACGAACAGATCTCTACATGTATTTACAAACTTTGGGAGTTGAGTTTAACCCGTATATTTATGGAACTCTCTGCTACATAATTCATAAGACGGTTATTGTATGAAATGTACTTATGTAGATTGTTGCGCTCAGCATTGTAATCTTGCAGAAGTTGCAGTTACAATGAATACTTTCACTATTTTAAGGCTCAAGTTGGGTTATTTGGCAAAATCTACCTATTTTCAATTGTATAATATTTCAGGGCTCCCTTCAGTAGAGTTACAGTTCAACTTGACAAAAACCGAGTGCCAGACAATAGTTCACAACCCAACTGTACGTGACCTCGTAGTCACCCTCCAAGCATGGAGGAAGGACAGAGAAGGAGTTACAAGTGCCCACTGGCTTTAACATCTGGTCAATTACCGCTTTCTGTCATGCCTGGTATGTCCATAGCCGAAGCGCAGCGAATGCTACGCACCACCTGTTTCACAACCATAAGCCCCCTTTGTACCCCATGATCATCGCCGCAATTTTCGCTGGTAATCCTGCATCCTTAAAATATTCATATGAAGCAAACTATGGGACAGAGAGAACCCCCCCCCCGCCTTTGTGTTGGTCATTCTTATACTGGTATCTCAGGAATTTTTTTTCAGACATCGGGGGATGTGTTAAGTGACAATTGGCTCGAGTGTGTTGGGGGGGGGGTACCCCTCCGTCCCATTTCGTGCCTGATATAGATAAACACGTCGTTGGTCAGTCTTAGCCAAATTCGTAGAAAGGCTTTGAAAACTAATGTTTCGGAGTGACAAAATAAAATTACAAACATTGCATGGATAATGGAAAAGTGCGTCAAAATTTTTAAAAACAATTACGACGTTAAAAGTAAATCTAATGCTAGATATTTTCTATTTCCCAGTCACGCCGACAAGCTGCAGTTAATTGCAAAGAAAACTCCACAAATATTGTTAGGATGTTACTGGCCCCCAAATCTGCTGGCGGTCATCAGGCATTTTTGGAATGTTTACTATTGTTCGTCTGACCACGGCGATGATCATCGAGCACTTTGATGAGCCAGAGTTGTAACTCCTTCTGTGTCCTTCCTCCGTGCTCCAAGGGACACTCGAGAAAGTCAAAGCGTTCGCAAGGGAAACGCCCAAGATGACTCGTATAAACGGTATCCGTAGAGACGACATTTGTTATCTAAAAAAATTATTGTGGCCACAAACTGATAAAAAAGTCGGCACTCTGGGTGATTTGTTCATTATAATGAGGTTGGACGTACTGATGTGTGGTCGTTTCAAAGACATTTGTACATATTGTAAATATTTTTCTCGTAAAAATTGAAATCTGATCAAAGATTTCCTTCGCTGACGTAACCTAGAAACTCATAAATTTAAATTACTTAGAGCCTGCAGTTCTTGATTGGCTTCTAGTGAAAGAAGATTCAGAAGGGGAACGGACTTTTTATAAGTTGGTTCACAGCTACGCTTTCATTACAATGAAATCACGTCCGTACACATAGCATAGAAGAAAACCTTTACATGTCTTTGAAAATTAACAAAAAGAAACCTGCTAAACGAACAACCGAAAATGATATAATCCGTTTAGGTCAAGGGCACATTACCGCGCGTATTGTAAAAATAACTCTCTTTGCTAGGCTATAAGAACTCGAACAAAACTAGTTTAATTAAGGAGAGTTAAAATTCAACGACTCGCTGGTTTTATTTGATTTATGCTTTGTATTTCTTTCTTTGTATTTCTTTCTTTGATGTAATTTTTCTATTTCACTAATGAAAGATTTACATGTAACTAATGCACTCCTAACCTGTGTACGTGTTTTGTGTCATACACTTACTTGCTCAACCTAAAGACTATGTTTTACGTGTATGTCAAAGATGCTTATGTACGTAGAATATGTAAATTTCCTTTTATTTCACACCAGAGCATTAATTAACCCTTCAGTAGTCCAATGAGATTAAAAAACGCATTTTTATCGCCACTGTATATCGATTCGCTGAATAAGCGTTTGAATAACGCGTATTATGTGAAATATGTTACAATGTTCTTAATTTGAGATTTACACATTAATATTTCCATATAATCTAACTTGTTTTGGGTATAAAGTTTTTCTCATTTGAGTTTCACATTATTTTGTAATGACGTAATGAATTTGATGATGCAAACTTAAGTAAGTCTATTTATTATAACAAATTCATAGACAGAAGTGATATTTAAGGGAGCGTTATTTATTAAGCAACCCTTCATTTCATATTTTTCTGCCGTTCTGTTTTCTTCGAGTGATGAAAGATTTGTACTTTTTTCCTGCTATTGTTTGTTCATTGCCGCATCTTTTACATTTTATACGTCAACAATGCTTTTATTGATGTAACATTTTTTAAATACAAGCCGATTGTTAACGTTTGAAAGAGGTTACTTGAGTAAATATTTTATTTCCGTATTGAATTTTTGCCATGATCACTGTGGATCGAAAACTTGCGGTAAATGCTTTAAGGGCTAAAAAAACAAAACAAACGAGTTTCTGTGCTTCTGGGGATTAAAGAAAGATGCATATCGCTCAAATTAGGGTTATTTATTTTGTCTGAAGGGTAAGTGTATGCTTTATTTTTGCTTGCTGAAATGTGCGTTTGAATTTGCTTAAATCATGTCATTTTGATCTTGATTTGTATTGTAAATATTATGATTGTGAAGCATTATTATTCTGAAGCGTTATTTCGCTTACCCCATCTAAAAGTTTACAATGGTGTAGGTTATTCAGTTTGGAGATTATCTTGTGTAAACTATTATATTAATTAGGAATAAACAACTGAAGGTGGCGGAACACGCCAAATTTTGAGAATTACTTGGAGTCCTTGGGTGGAAGCATAGCTTGCGGTTTCCAGCGGCCACTTTATCATTAGCACAGTGAGCCTACCTGCTTCCCATCGAGCGGATGACACAGAGAACCGAGATTCAAGCTCTGCGATGTCATATAGTCTCGCCAAATTTACATAATCTGAATTTTTAATGTCTGCACTAGTACATTGTTTAGCGCGAAAATTGGCAAGGCAAATTGTGTTCACCGCGCGCGCATTCAGCCATATGTCGATGGGGTGTGCCTAGACCCGTAAACAGTGTGGCCCGACTTATACTCCTCCGTTGAAAACTGGGCCCCATTCATAAGGCTTTCTTTCGAAAAATTTAATCCGGGAAATCCGGAGGCATAATCAAACATCCACGTGATTTTATAAGTTGAAATTGCACAGGTATGTTCACTACTCACGGGGTGTAAACTATCTGTGGCGGGCGTGCCCCCATTCGGGGGTTATTTTGACAGGGTTCTTTGTTCAGCACTCGGAAGAGGCGTGGAGAGTCACGTTTCCACACACGAGGCAGGCAGGCGATTTTTTGCCCGCTGCCGCGTGCATGCTCCGTTACTACTCCGTGATGGGTCACGCAAGAGATATCGCCTTACCGCCCCTACATATCCATTATAGTTGCTAATTGCAGAAAACCACAACTGCCGTGCTGTTGCTTTGCTTTTGCCACACTCATCTTTCTTCAGTTCGACGATGGATCGACCATGGTTCGTCGCACGCACCTTCGACCATGGATCGACCCTGGTCGAACCATAGAGAAACATACAAATAAATTGAGTTAGACTCAGACTTGGCTGAGGTCTCAAAAAAATACCCTACTGGTGTCAAATCGTGTTGAGCAATCGTCTCCTGTTGCACATTCGTTTTGCTGGTTTATTATTTTATATGGTTCTTTTGTGGTGTTCAGGTTATTTCAGTCTCCCATCCCACTTCAAGCTGGTCTAACAATAAACAGCCTATGGGGCACTTACATTTGCCTGTATAGGCTACCCATTATCACCAACTACTGTAGCCCAGCGAGGGCGAGGGGATCCCCGATAAGAAAAATGAAAAATAGAAAAGTAAACTAAACTCTGTGAAGAGGATCAGTCCTGACCAGCACCCTGGAGCTGGCGGAGTTGCGGGCCATTCGCGAACTTTTGGTAATGAGTCTGACGCTATAGCAACAAGAAAGGCAAGCTTATCGTTTGGTTTGGTTTTGCTTGACGGGTGGGTGGGTGGGGGCAGTTTGAACCACCCAGATACATGGAGCAAACCAACTTTTCCCATTTGAAAGACATCGCAGCAGTTCACTTTTTAAAATATCGTTGATGGAAGCACAGAGGACCGGTGCCCAAAGCGACAATGGTTGTCCTCGGTCACTCGTCTGTGTCTTTTATTTCTCCATGCTTTAAGTAACGGATAAGCATTGCTTTTGTACAGAAGTACGGAAACGTATAAGGGCCACTTGCAAAAATTTTACAATCTCCCGTTGCGAAATACCATCTCGCCGCAGGGAGACAGTAACCCTACATATGAAGTAAACTATGGGACAAAGAGAACCCTCCCCGCCTTTGTGTTGGTCATTGTTATACTGGTATCTCAGGAATTCTGTTCAGACACAGGGGAGTGTGACAATAGGATGGAGTGTGTAATTAGCAAGTGGCCCTTATGTCTTCAGTATATTTTGATACCTTTTCATGGCTACAATAATATCACAGCGTTATATGTTTTGTAAAATCCAAGAATCCCCCCTGAAAAAAACTTGTGCAGGTGAATCACAAAAATTGTATTGACTGTAACTCTCTGAGCTTCAAGAGTTTCGAAAGCGAGCATTAATGCCAATTAAATTATACATTCGGTTCCTATCTGCGGCTATGGCACAGTTGGGATCCGCACCACATGTGATGATCGACATAGGTAAGTGTTGTTCAATGTAAAATGTGCAAGCTTATGTAAGAAGAAGTGTTTTGCTGCTGATGTGCCGAATCGCACCAGCAACTTGAAAACGTCTGTGTGATTCATGCCTAGCGAGGATTGACGTGGCATTTTATCCTAAGCGAGGATTAATGACAAGGGGGCGCCCGTCTGTTCCTGTTGTGAGGTGCACTGAACCAATTCAAGCTCCACTGAAAAGAGTGTAAAATCAACAAAGTTTGGAGTCACAATGCAGGCAACTGAAGTTCCTAAAGCTTCTAAAAAAATCCTTCAGATTTCATGTGATTTTCAACTTTTAGTAGGTTAAACCAATGAATTTTTAATTATTCCCCCTAAAACAAACTTACCCCCAAAAGTGAATGTTCCCAAGTCTTCTCAGCAACGATTTTTCAAATGACATCTCTCACCTTCGGGGGCTCTTCTGACAAAATTTCGATCACATTTTTGTCTGCTTTGCCCCAAGATGGGTGCCCCTGAATCTACAGAGATGATTCAGGGACATACTGACACAATTTCATGTCCCAGAATAAACCCCTCTTTATAAAAGAATCTGCAGGGTTACTTGTTATGCACCTCTGTCTGCCGGATAATTTTCCATGAATTGGGACATTGCACCCATACTGAGAGCGAAAGTTCAGATCAGTCTGGCACCTGCCTCCACTCTACCCTACAATTTTGGTCCTGTC